AAGCAGTCTTGATTTTTAATACCCCTGATACTTAAAACCATAGAAGACTCAGTAAGCAAATTCTCGACCAAGGGCCTGAGGCAGTAGCACCACCCTTCAGTGCAGCGCTGTCCCAAATCTCAGGTACCACTCTCGTTCCTAGTTGCGAGCATCTGTGAAGCAATTGTCCTCAGGAGCGGGAAGCAGGCTTTCAATGGCAGGAGCAGCTGGTGGGACATAATGCTGTCTGGCTTCCTGGCACCATCCCCAGAATGAAACCTCAAATTACCAGGCCTGGTTTTATTTTATTCTGTGTCCTCCTCAAAGGTGTCTCTAGAAAAAGCAAATTGCTTTAACATGGAAAAGGTCTTTTTCCATTATTAATAAAACTCACTGATAGGCTCACTAGTTCTTTCTGGCTATCAATATAAAAGCCTCAAGCTGTTGTTATATTTGAGGGGAAGGGAAACATCAGGGTTCAGCATGTCCCTGCATCCAGGATTTCCCCCGTCATCCTCGCAAAGTGTGTCAGGTGGCCATGTGACCCACAGTGCCCTACCGTCACAAGGTTGCTTGAGGAGACTGCCCCAGGGGGTTGCATTTCCAAAGTGAATTTATTGTCTGTGGGTACAAGTCAGAATGCCCCTTAAGTAGGTAAGTCAATGACACTGATATAAGTGGGTTAATCAGATGCTTAGAAATAAGGAAGTTAGAATCAAAAGCTTTGGGTCCAACTTCCCTGCAGACTGTAAACCAACCATCTGCAACCAGGTCCTGGTATAATTCCTCCTCTGGCTGGGCTAGGGGAAGGGTACTTCCATAGTTCTAAGGCACTGGGGATGACTTCCCTAGGTGGGCCTGGGAAAGGGCAGAAGAACAAGAATGGAAATCCAGGACAAAGGATGTCTCAAGCCATAGCCATAGAAACTGAAATTATGAAATCAAACTCATTATTTCAAAACTGTACCCTTCCAAAGAGAAGTTACCCAAACCCCTGAACAGAAGTGGTGGAAACAATATGCTACATTTAATAAAAATACCTGGACTTTAGCTAAATAATACCCTTTCTTCTGGAGTTATTCCTTCCTATACTTCTGAATGTATCGTCCCAGGTTTCTCCATCAATGAGATGGAGATGAAGGGAATACCACCTACCACCTCCCTGAATTATAGGCAACTAGAGTTACATGAGTTCTTAAGACAAATGTGATGTAAACTAAAAGAGATTTCTATTGACCACTATTCAACCTGTCCCTCCCTACATCAAACTTTTAAAATAATGGAAATTCTGGACCCTTGCCATTAAAATAGCATGAGATAGTCATCTACTGAGTCAGTCCTCACGACTCTCAGAGCATATGGGGCATGAGACATCTTGTCAAACATATGGTGTTCCAAATGTAACAGTGCTAAATATTTAATATTTCACAATGGTTTACCGTAAATCAAGTTGCAAAGAGCTGTAGGCAAACCACCAACTCCCACAGCAGAGGTAAGTTCCACATCAGCTTTTCTAACTAACTTGATTTTCTTTGATTCATTTTCTATCCAAATAATTCATTGATTTTATTTCCCATTGAGGAAAAAGTATATGAGGTAGCAAAAACCCAATGCTGGTCAATTAATCTCTGCTTAAAACTCCATATCAGCACATCTCTGTGCCTTTGAACTCAATTTTCTAATTATTCAAGGTTCATTTTCCCTCTTCTTCCCCCACAGATCAGAATAATGGCCATCCTGCCTTTAAAAGCAGTTTAAAGATTACAGACTAGGTTTTAGACTTGCTAATCATAGCTGTATTTCCTCGTGCAATTGCCTCATCTAGACCTAGCCTATGCATAATGATTGTAATAATAAAAATACATACCATGTACTCAGTATATACCAACTAGTTGAGCATTTACATACCACAACCCTAATTCCCATATCAATCCTACAGGTAGGTATTGCTATCTCTTAACAATCAAGACAGAGACTCAGAAAGGCTCAATAACTTGGTCAAGAGCACCCAGTTTATGAACCAGCAGAGATGGGATTGAATCCACATCTTACTGAGTACAGAGTTCATGCAGCTTCATGCAGTAACTATTCTGCAACCCACGTGGAGGCTGCACTCATACTGTACCCTCAGATCAAACGGCTGTAACAGCTATATGCTGCGGGGGGGGGAAGAGGGGAGGAAACAGCTCTTCAGGTGGCCCTCTAAGTAATTTAATGGACACATCAGCTTTGTCTGGGGAATACAGTCCACATTTTTTCCATTAATCTACTACCCAAGTCTAGATACTAAGAATTAATCTAAACCAAGTCAAAATGTAAAGACCAATGAAGCCAATCCACCTAAAGACTTCTTTTTAAGGCAAAAAATAGTAATTTTAGACATTTAGTACAACCTTCACCCATCTTCCCTTAATGTTAGTATATTATATAACTATAGTACCAAAATTCAGAAATGAACATTAACACATTAATACTAACTAAAGTACAGACTTAATCTGGAGTTCACCAGTTTTCCTGCTACTATACTTTTCTCTGGTCCAGAAGCCAAGCCAGGGTCCCGCATTGCCTCAGTGCTGCATCTCTGGTCTGCGAGAATTCTCCAATCTTTCCTGGTCTTTCATTACCTTAACACTTTTGAAGACTTTTTGACCTTACACTTTACTAAGTTACTCTGGAGAAATAACTCACTTTAGTTTGATGTTTCCTGAAGATTTGAGTGAAGTTATGCATGACTGGGAAGAATACCCCAGAGATGACGGAGGCTTCTCAGTTCAGGGTATCAGAGGGCATGTGACGCTGGCATGTGTTCTTGCTGGTGACGTTGACCTTGATTGCTTGGTGAAAACTTACCAGGCTTCTCCACTATGATGCTCTTCTTTTTCCCTTCGTAATAAAAAAATCTTGGAGCTGGAGGGATACTTTGAGACTATGAAATGAAAAAGGATTTTATGTATTTAAGAGGTTTCCAGCTATTATCTAGGCCAAAGGTCAGCAAACTATGGACAACTGCCTATTTTTCTGTAAAGTACTTTTGTTGGGTAAAGGTTTTACTGGAACACAGCCACATCCATTGATTTAGGTGTTGTCTATGGCTGCTTTCCACTAGAACAGAATAAATGAATAATTATGACAAGTTGTATGGGTCACAAAGCTGAAAATATTTTCTATCTGGTCCTTTACAGATAGGGTTTACAGATCCCTAGTCTAGTCTATGCCCCAAATTTTCATTTGGCAGCTGGACCAGAAAGAATATGGGTTAAAATTTCATCCTTCCTACAACAATTACTAGCCATGCAGCCTTAGGCAAGCCACTGACCCACTCTGAACCTCAGTTTCCCCCTTCGTTGCAGTGTTTTAGGAAAGACTAGGGGCCATGTCAGTAAAACTCATGGCACATGACACATACTCAACTAATGGTCCCAACATTGATCAGAAGACCAAAGCTGGGATGACTGCATCAAAGGTAGAATCTTGCCCATCACCTATATCAAGGATATGTTTAAAACATGTTCCTGGCGTCAGCCCCAAGGATCTGATTCAGGAGGTCTAGAATAAGTCCACACTACACATTTTCAGTGAACACCTAAGGTGATTTTGTTGCAGGACCAGCTCTGGGAATGACTGTTAATAAGCAGTAAATACCACACTAATCCTCTCTGCGACTTTATGTCAGTCCTGTATCCCACAGTGTCTGCCTCCCTTCCTCTCCCTCAGTTAAATGCTTGTCCCATTAAAGGGTTCCTGCAAGTACCACAGGAAAGCAACATCGTCTTCTGAGCTACTGTGTTACATCAATTTATCGAAGATTAGGTCCTATTGGACTCCAAGAGCAAAAGTAAGATTTTCCAGGTTTCAGAAAAAATATTCCTTTAACAGCCTCCTCCTTTATGAAAATAAAGAGAAAACTCTGGGAGCCTCTCCTCATAGCACTGAGTCAGGAAATAAGAAACCAAGTATGTATTGAGGTTTTCAGGAGGGAAGAGGGGACAGAAGACAACCAGGGACACTGGTAAGGACAAGGGCAAATTAACGAAGGCAGAAGGGACCTGTCCCTGCATCCCTGGCCACCCCCCAGCTGACCCTATCCTGCACTGCCCTGGTTGGTGGTCCAACAGGGTAAGAAACAGAGACTGGAGCAGGTACAAGGCCTCTTAACCCACAGCTAGACCAACAGCAGTGTTTCAGGAATGAGAAACCCCAGGTGATAGAAACTGGAGATTCCTGGAGCCTTCTGGATGTGAGAGACATTTATATGACTATGAGTGCAGTCTAATCCATGCCTGAGCTCCCACAGGCACATATACCAGCTCAAAAGGCAAGATTCCCCTGCCCACTCTTATACTCCAACAGATACTGAGGAATAAGTGTGTCTAGGAACAGGGACACAACAGGGACTGTCAAATTTAGAGATGCCCAAAGAGCAGATTTCAAAGTATCTTAACCCTCCATCTTACAAAACCTTTTTTTTTTCACTGAAGTAAAATTCACATAACATAAAACCAACCATTTTAAAGTGTCCATTTCCATGGCATTTAGTATATTCACAATGTTGTGTAACCACCAGCCATATTAAGTTCCAAGCATTTTCATTACTCCCCGCAAAAAGACCCCTCATATCCATTAAGCAGTCACTCCCCCATTCTTCTCTCCAATAGCTTTTTATAGTGATGGGTGGATTATCTCTATAATGACATTTTATGTAACCACTCTTTGAGGAACTTTAGCAAACTTTGGGTTCAAAGGACATAGGAACATTCCCTCTCCAACCAGGAGGGAGTGACCTCCCAGAAAGGCCCAAGATAAGTTTCCTCTGTTCCTGTCCCACCTAGTCCAGTAGGAACAGTGCCAGAGTCTCTTACACAAACACACACACACCACACACCCTGGTCTGGTTAATTTCATGTTGTCAATAATCATGAGAATAAGAGTACATCATGGGTGATCTGAGAAGAATCTCTTCAACCCCCCACCACAGCCTGAGTCATTACCCCAAATGGGTCTGGACAAAGGTCAGCTCTTACCCTCTGCTTCTCTGGGTCCACATAACGAATGCCAAAGTAGTCCTTCTCCAGCAAGCTGTAGTAGTTGCAAATGTGGTCAATAAGGAACTGCCCTTTGGTCTCCCTCTGCAAAGGAAGCACATTTAAGTTTCAGCCAGAGCTCACCTTACACACTCATGTCTAAAAGGTGTTTCATTCACCCTGGTAGGTCTGTGCTCATAAAAATGGATTAGTTCATCAAAGATGGCAGCGTGAGAGGAGAGACAGAGGCTTCCTCCTAAAACTGGATACAATTAGACAATTTAATTGGCGCAACTAATCCTGAGAGAGCAACAGGAAAGAGAACTGCATCAGACTGCACACACTGGGAGAAAAGAGCAGACCTCAGCTAACGGAGTAACGTACCAGAGCTGTGGCTCCACGGGACCCAAGCCCTTCCCCCACCCCAGCTCACCTGCAGGAGGAAGAGAAATGGAGCAGGGAGGGAGTGGAAGGCTTGGGACTGCTGAATACCTAGCTCCAGAGATCTGCGCTGAGAGCACAAACCTACATTTCATGGTGCTTTCATGAGACTCGCATGACTACCTGGTTAGAAAGTTAATACAGGCAGAGTTCCTGGGGAGACTGGGATTCCAGCTGCTTGTGGAAAGCAGGGATCCATATCTGGCTGCTCTGGGACAAAAATTTATACCTGTGTGCCCGGCCCACTGGCTCAGGCAGTGGAGACAGGCACAGGAGCCAGGAGGCAGGGAACAGCTCTTTCCTACCCCCAGTACCGCTCCCCTGCGACCCTGACATTGATTCAGGGGCTCAGCAGCTCCAGAATAGAGCTTCTGGACACTAGAGGGTGCCATATACAAACATGAAACGCCAAAGGAACCTTGTCCAGAGTAAAATTGTTAATACAACTCCCAAGAAAGATTTAAATGATATGGATCTCATGACACTTCCTGAAAGGGAGTTCAAAATAAAAATCATCAACATCCTAATGGAGGTACAGAAAGACATCCAAGAACACAGGAATGAATTCAGGTCAGAGATCCAATCGTTAAAGAACACGATGGAGGGTATTAAAAGCAGGTTGGATACAGTGGAGGAGACAATAAATGAAATAGAAACTAGAGAAGAGGAATACAAAGAAGCTGAGGCACAGAGAGAAAAAAGGATCTCTAAAAATGAAAGAATATTGAGAAAACTGTGTGACCAATCCAAGCAGAACAATATTCGCATTATAGGGATACCAGAAGAAAAAGAGAGAGAAAAAAGGGATAGAAAGTGTCTTTGAGGAGGTAGTTGCTGAAAACTTCCCCAATCTGGGGAAGGAGATAGTCTCTCAGGCCATGGAGATCCACAGATCCCCCTACACAAGGAACCCAAGGAAGACGACACCAAGACACATAGTAATTAAAATGGGAAACATCAAGGATAAGGACAGACTGTTAAAAGCAGCCAGAGGCAGAAATAAGATCACATACAAAGGAAAGCCCATCAGACTAACAGACTTCTCAGCAGAAACCTTACAGGCGAGAAGGGAGTGGCATGATGTATTTAATGCCATGAAGCAGAAGGGCCTGGAACCAAGATTACTTTATCTGGAGAGATTATCATTTAAATTTGAAGGAGGGATTAAACAATTTCCAGATAAGCAAAAGCTGAGAGAGTTTACCTCCCACAAACCATCTCTACAGTCCATTTTGGAGGGAAATAGTCTGCTATAGATGGAAGTGTTCCTAGGGTTGGATAGTTGTCACCAGAGGTAGTAAAATCATGGTAGGGAGGGTGGAGCAGCTGATTGTGAGGCAAATGCAAAATTAAACTGACTATCCTCAAAGCCAATCAAGGGATAGAGAAAAAGTATAGAATCTGATACCTAATATATAAAGAATGAAGGAGGAAAAAAAAAGGAGGAGAAATAGAAAAGTACCTTTAGATTGTGTTTGTAACAGCATACTAAGTGAGTTAAGTTAGACTCTTAGATAGTAAGGAAAGTAACCTGGAACCTTTGGTAACCATGAATCTAAAGCCTGAAATGGCAATAAGTACATACCTATCAATAATCACCCTAAATGTAAATGGACTGAATGCACAAATCAAAAGACATAGAGTCACTGAATGGGTAAAAAAACAAGACCCATCTATATGCTGCTTATAAGAGACTCACCTAAAACCCAAAGACATGTACAGACTAAAAGTCAAGGGATGGAAAAAGATATTTCATGCAAACAATAGGGAGAAAAAGGCAGGTGTTGCAGTACTAGTATCAGACAAAATAGACTTCAAAACAAAGAATGTAACAAGAGATAAAGAAGGACATTACATAATGATAAAGGGCTCAGTCCAACAAGAGGATATAACCATTCTAAATATATATGCACCCAACACAGGAGCACCAGCATATGTGAAACAAATACTAACAGAACTAAAG